ACTCTCAGTTTTTCACATATACTTTTACAGTTACACAGGTTCAAGGTAGGAAGGAGGGAAGTTATGTGAGCAGACAGGATATGGGACCTCTTTTATTAATCCCACTAAGAAGTACTTATAAATTGCACAGGTAACCAGACTTCTAAAATTTCCACTTTTTTAAAGGAATTCCTTCAGCTCTTGAGAAAAAAAAATGAAAGTCATAAAGTGATGGTGTTTTTCTGGGACAGAGAGGAGAAAAAGAAATGATTTACAAATGATTCAGAGGCCATGGCATATCTATATGTAGAATTTCCTTTTACATGGCATATTTTGAGTGAGTCAGTATATTCTGTTGCTTTCTCTCTTTTTTTTTCTGGTATTCCCACTATGCATATGCTACACCTTTTATAGTCCCACAGCTCTAAGATATTCTGTTTACCCCTGGCCCCCCATGTCTTTTTTTCTTTTAGTTTTGGATGTTTCTATTAATGTATCCTCAGGTCCACTGATTCTTTCCTTAGCTGTGTCTAGTCTACTAATGAACCCCTCAAAGGCATTCTTTATTTCTGTCACAATGCTTTTGATTTCTGGAATTTATTTTTGATTCTTTCTTAGAATTTTCTTATCTTTGTTTAAAATTATCCATCTGTTCTTGCAGGCCGTCTACTTTTTTTTTTTTCATTAAATACTTTAGCATAGTTGTTTTAAACTCCCAATTTGATAATTGCAACATCGGTGTCTTACCTGAGTCTGTCTGGTTCTGATGCTTGCTCCATCTCTTCAAACTATGTTTTTGGCCTCTTAGTAGCACTGTATTTTTTTAAACTGAATAACAGACATGATGTACCATGTAAAAGACACCGAGTACTGGCTCCTGCAGAAGTTTCTGCTCATGGGTTCCTAATGTGGTAAATCGTAATTCCCTGTATCTATCTGTTTGTATTTCCAATTCTGAGGATAGCAGTTTGCTCTGTGACCTCACTGCTCTGAGAGATCTAAAAAGAGTTGTTGACTTTTCAGTTTGTTCGGACTTTTAATTGTTGTTAGGATGGAGTGACAACTGCTAAGCTGCTTAGGTGCCAGAGTAGAAGCTGAAAGTCTTGTGTGTATGTTCTTTAATTGCAGGAAATGGAAACCTTTGGCTTACTTACTGGAGGAAAAATAACAAGAAAAAAAAGAAATAATTTATTTATGGTTATGGGGTAGCTCACAGGATCACATATAGACACACAGAGGCGAGTCCTGGAAAATCTGGAATGCAGAGCAGCTCTGCACCTGCAGGCCGACCTTGCATCCCACGCTCACCCACCAGCTCAGTGGAGGGGTCCTTCCTAAAAGGAGATTTAGGATGCTCCTAGAAGGCGCAGGGGGGTTGCATGACAGGGATGAGGACCTTTGTCCAGGGAAAGAGGAAGCTAAGCAGGTGCTGAAATTTGGGCTCTCTTCCGATTGCTTCCCACTGAGATGGAGGGTCTCAATTAGATTTTTAGATCAAAGACTCAGAATTCCTATCTAATTTTATAATTCTGTGTTCTCTTATATCTGATGGATTTTTGTTATTAGGAGATGAATTTCTATATGAAAATTATGTGGACCACACTGATACATGGGAATTATGCTTACTGTTTCACTTGACATATATTCTAAATGTTCATGTTGTTTCTCCCTTCATCTATTTTAAGTTGACAGTAAGCCAAAAAAAACTCTTAGGTAATTCTTTTCCTTATGTTTGTTTTTTATTTTGAAATAGATCCAAATTCTGTGAAGAAGCTGCCTGATACAGAACCTGCTTTGTCTTCCAAGGAAAATTGAAGGTACAATTTCAGAAGTCCAACAAACCACTTGCCAATAATTACTTTGAGGAGTAAAGAGCTATGGCTTCCCATTCCTAGCCATCATTTCCTGCGCATCTGTTGTACCAAATAAGGGTTCAATAGCAGAAGACAGAACCCTCTCAAGCTACTTGGGGCAAAGGGGGATTTATTTACAGGCATTGATTAGGTTCCACATCCACTGGAAGGATTGAAGGAGTAGGCCCAAGGCTGAGCTTCCCAAAACAGGAATCACAAAGCCTCTGCTTTGAGTCAGAGAGCTGATAGGAAGTGGCAGAGTCAAGCTGCTGACGACATCCTTAAAGTAAATGAGTGTAGATGGGCTGTGTTCACACTTGGAGTAAACTGACCGCAGGCATGCACAAGGTAAAAAGGACCAGCAAAGGAGATTGTGAGAGAGTAGGATGAGGGGTAGGAAAGAATTTCGGGCATCACACCGGCCAAGGGAAGGCATTCATGAGAAAGGAGTGGAAAAAAAGATCTAAGAAATGGTCATCAGTGAGGAAGGCAGTTGTTGGAAATCTTATAAGAACAATTCTAGTGAGATTAACAACAGAATGCAGTGGGCGAAAGAGTGAGTGGGCGGCATGAAAACAAAGACGCTGAACACGTTTTTGCAAAAAGCCTGGCTGTGAAGTAGAGCGGGGAGTATGTAACAACGGGGAGAGGGTAACTTTCTCCTTTTAGAAGATGGGAGAGACTAGTAGTACATTTTCAAATGTTCATAGGAAGAATCCTATTGAGTCAAAGTAGATGGACATACAGGATAACAATGGGCAATAGGCAGGGTGTGATTTCTGAACAGACGGGAAGTAGTGGGATCAGAGATGTGAGGAGAGTGGGAGTGGGAGGGTCAAAGATATGAAATAGCTGGGCTGGAGAACAGGAGAGAAAGCAGCTCAGGCAATACAGAAGGGTCACTGGGCAGCACCAAGTCCTAATACAGAATTCTGTACTTTAAAACTGAGGCATTTCATGGATGTTATATGCAGATGTAGTCCTAAAATGTAGGACGAGCTCAGGGAAGGTGAAATGAGGGCTGTGCAAATCTTGTATGTGGCTGGAAGGTCACCAAACCTTATGGATCAGTTAAGACGCTTCCAATTATAAGAAACAGATACAACTTAAACTAGATTGTAAAATAAAGGGAATTTATTGCCTCACATAAGGAAAAGTCCAAAAGTGGGTGGGCTTTGGGCACAGATTGGTCAAGGCTCCCTTTGTGATTCATTCTTCGGTCCCATTCCATGAGCTGGCTTTATTCTATCCGGACTTACCTCGGGGTTATACTTTGACTAGCAACATCAGCTAGGGCTAAGGATTTCAGGGGGAAGAAAAAAAGGAACGATACAGGAAGAGTGGGGGGAATAGGAAGGAAAGTCCCTGTGTTCTGCTGTTCTCCTTGCATTTAATCTTTCACTATTTCTTCCCTTGGCAGGACCTAACAAAAAGCCGGAGAGTAAGAGAGCCTAAAATAGCTCCAATACAGAGCAGATGAGGGAAAGGATTGGGAAATGGATCTTAAGGCAAACAGGCAGACGCTGGCACAGGCCCAGGAGATACTGGGTGGCCAAAACTGGAGCAGCCATGGAGCAAGGTACACAGAGCTACTCCCGGCACACAGAACCTAGGAGCTCATCTCACCACCAGCTGGCGGACGGCTTGTTCTTCCTAGACCAGAGGATGTGGTGGCTGCCATGTATTGGTGACACAGTATGCTATTAAAAGTAGATGCTATTCTGAGTGGGAATTTGCCTCTCAGCAACCCAGTTCTCTGCCACAGTAGAGTGAGGGGAGGAAGGAGGAGCTGAATGTCTCAGCCATATTCTGACCTGAGCAAGAGGAATTCACATCATAGAGAGATCCTGGGTGCTGAGAGCTTGGCTGCAGTCGTGAGGATTGTGGGTTGACTTTGGAAATGGGGCAAGAACACTTAGATTACACAAGCAATAGTTGTATTATATTAAGGCAAACACATATGGGAAGGCAGGTGTGGGTTAGCCAGCCAGGTGCTGGGCTGTGGTTACTATTGCTTTGGGCTACTGGCACTTTTCTCCTCCCTCCTTCTGTAACCACGTGCTCCAGAGCTTTGGTGGGGACCCCACATTGTAAGACACTTGGGTTGGACAAGCGCTTTGCATAACTTCCATTGGCCCAAACCTTCACTCTCTTAGGAGTTGAGATTACAGTTGTCTGCCTGTGTACCAGACAGCCAAGGAGGTGAATAGTGAGGTGGAAAACTGTTGTTTTTGCCTGACCATCCCTGCTTTCTTTGGGGAATTAACCTCTTCCCTCCACATGTTCTGGAAAGGACTGCAAATCACAGATGTTCACACCCTGATGCCTGCAGAGTCTATGTGACCTAAGCTAGGCCAATCAGATACTCTCTCCCAGGAATCTGAAATGGGGACAGATAGAAGACGGCCAGAAAACAGCCGAAGTTGGCTCACTCTTGCAGCAGTGCTCTGGACACTGCTCCCTTGGGGCAGGAGTTCCCTACTGGATTCTCTAGCACTGCCCTGTTGCATGCAGTCCTCGCTGAGGCGGGGTGGGGGAGGGGAGGTGGGGGGGAATCAACACTGTGCATTCTGGGAATTCCCCAGTATTCTTCCTGTAAACCTTTTTATGCTTAATTGAAAGATTTTCTGTTCCTAATAACAAAAAAACCTTACCTGAGACAAGAGTTGACATGATTTAAAATTTTAGCCATCACCACAGAGCTTAAGAAGTGAAGTGAGCTCTCCCTCACTAGGGTTATTTGGGACAGAGATACTGCAAATTCACACATATCAACAGGGTTCTGGGAATGGCTGTATTATACAGATGTCCATGGATCTTGTGTACCTTTGGAAAATAGGGAGGTTTAAGGAAAATCTTCATTACCTAGACTTATAAGTATTTTCTTGGAAGATACAGTTTCAAAGTAACTCATGAATTTTCTATTTCATTGAACTAAAAAGTGTAAAGTAATATATTAAGGGTGCTTCTTCAGGAAAAACTTACACTCTTCCTTTCTGCCTGCTGGTTTTTATGAAAAGGATAATGTTTTTTTCTTATGTTTATTAGTGTTATACATGCTTACTATTAATTTAGGAATAATTTGTTTGCTGAAGGATATCTTCTGAGCATACATAGAAGCATACAAATACAGTCCTAAACACTATGCTTACAAATAATTTATTCTTATTTCAAACATGTTTTTCGGCAAAAAAATGTATAGTTATACAGAATTTTATATTCAAGACCGTAGGGAACAAAGGTCTCACAAAAACAAAATCATGGCAAACTACACAACAGAAATCAGTCACAATTTTGTTCAGCTACATTCACAGAACTGACCAAAGTGATTCTATTCCTATGGATTACTTTTCTTAATTTACCAGATAATGTGGAATTATGGATAAACAATACTTGGCAGAATATGCTAATGCTTTGAAACCACATCGCAGTCCCTGTGTGGAAGTTCACACATCCTGAGAAAGTCCCTCTAGCTCACTAAGTGTAGCTGATTAGGATGTACATGATGGCTGGAGTTGGAGTAGCCTAAGACTTAATTTAGCAAGCCGTGGATAAAATGATTGTTTCTTTTTTCATGCCTACATTATCCCTTATCACCCTCCATTATCACCATTAAATGAACTAAAAAAAAAAGAAAAGAAAAGAACCACCCCCAAAACAACAACAACAAAAAAACCTGATACAAGATCTCCATTTGGTCACTGTTAAATTCTCTGCCTACCTCTAAGCTGAAGAAAAAAAATGAATATGGCCCTTCAACTAATGCCCTTTACTGCAAAAGGGAACCTGCTGGTTGTACGTTCTTGTAAATCTGAGTACAGTCATATCTGAATCCTTAGTTTAGAAATGGATGAACCTCATAAGGCAAAATGGCTTGAGGCGGCCAATATGGAATCATGGTAGAAACCTTTTGTCTTCGGGGCTGAAGGCTTCGAGGGTGGTGGCGGCGATGGTCTGAGAGAAGGGTGAAATGGACAGAGTTTACAGCTACTGCTCCTACTGCATGCCACGGAATGGCCCTCAGCCCGAGGCTTAGCCTGCCCCTGGTCTGTGTAGCGATGGCACAGGGCTTTAGTCTTCTTTCCACTCCCAACAAATAAGGAGCAGGGTCTCCAGGGCTGTGCGTTTCTCTAGTTATTTTTATGTTATTCACAGTGGTTGTACCCTCATCAAAGTGATCTGTACCTGAGCCTTTATTGACTTGATACTGAGCTCCTTGGAATAATTTTGCTCATAGCCTCCACGACAGAAAACCAGCCTGGTGGCGCACTAGACCTGTGCTAAGCCTTGCTGGGAGAGGGAATTTAATGAAGTTTCCAAGAATTTTAAAAAGACTTTTGAATTTAGCCTTGTTAAACACCTATAACATATCTGACAGTTTTCTTCTTTTAAAAAAATGTTTTTTTAACCCATCTTGAAACTATACATTATTTACACTTTTAAAGACCTACTAGGTCTTGATCATTTGGGTAAGAGTTCAAGGTGATTAAACTCCCAGGACAAAGATGAGGCTTTCCAAAAGGCGCTGGTTCTCATCTATGTGCCAAGGCCTGTTTTTGCAAACAAATTGCTATTATAAAACTTTTAAGATACAAAATTAGAATACTTCTTTAAAAATTTTTCCTGTTAGTCTTGTGTGTACAACCAGCATATGAAATACAGATTATGCTTCCTAACTAGAGATGGAACTAAAAAGAAGAAATGAAATTAATGTGTCCCCATACTTTTTTCATCTAGAAACAAGGGTTTATTTCCATGGTGTCTCTTTCCAACGCTGTGGTGAGCCACGAGGGGCAGGGCCATCTCTACGGCACGGATAAGTAACCAACTAAAGGCCCCTCCATGACTTGAGTGCTTATTGCATGTTTTAGGTGGCGGTGTAAGGCATGAGAAAGGCAGCCTGCAACTTTTACATGCTCAAGAAATTTTCCTTAAGAAATTTCATGTTTGGAATACCTTCTAGAAATTGTTCAAGAACAAAAAAAGTATTAAAGCTCATGTGTTACATTTAAAAGCACAATATATTGGGGAAACATTTTCAAAATCTAAAAAAAAAAAACCCAAACCAAAAACAAAAAGGCTGTTTTTCCATTGAGTTAAATAGTAAATAAGTGAGAATTCTGTTGCATATAGGTGTGTGTTCAGAGCTTTCAACAGTCACATCCTGCCACAATTCACAGCCAAATCAGCATTCTTGGTCCCTGACCTATAAATAAACATTCTGATTCTCAACTTGCTCATAGACTCTTAACAAGCTCTTCTAAAACAAAAAGGCCTACAAATTGGTTAAAAATCTATAAACCAAAAAATGCAATATATTTGTCCTCTTTCAACAAACAAAAATTTGTATTAGATTTCTGGAAAAGTGATTCAGAAGAACTGACACCCATTTTCACATTTAAGAAATACTTATTCATAACATTGAAGAAATAAAATCTTCAATAGAAAGGCATGTGGCCTCTCACAAAGGAATACAGTAGTTCTCAGGTTCCACCAATGAGTGCTTCCTTTTCAGCTTGTCTAGCTTCGTTTGCTTTTTGTCAGGCAATATATGACAGAATATTGTTAATCTTTCAAGAAAATGATTCAAAAGATAATTTACAATTAGATGGTGCTACTCCTATTGCCTTTTTGCCTTATGCCCTAATTTTATGGAAACAAATTAAGGACATTAAGCCAAGGGTAAGAGTACCACTTAAAATATACCTGGGCACTAGTGCTCAGGTAAAAAGCTATAGGATGTGCCAAATACAATTCCTTGCCTGCCTATTTGAGCACTAACAGCAGGGGAGTTCACATGCTTTTCTAGGGACACAGCTTAGAACTCAGGTGAAATTGTCCATAGCTGAACTTGCTGTTCCATTCCGGCTGATTGAATCTAATTCTTGCTTTCTCCTTCTCATGCGTTCTTCCTGTCTTTTTTACATCTGATGCTTTTTCTTTATAATTTCCTCCATTTTTCTAAGACATGTTTCATAGAGTACAACACAAAGACCTTAAAGGAGGAAAAAAGCTAAATAACATTAATCTTTGGAGATTTAAGCATTGAAGCTTGCTTTAAACTTATGCTATCTATGAAATTCAGATATTTAATGACATCACAATTTAGGCACTTTGGATGAACCTCACTTCATAGTGATATGAATATTATAAACCTTCCAAAAGTGATTGTTATTGTCTTTGTTAACTATAAGTGATGATAAATCTTTCAACCTCTTCTATGTACATATATGCCTGCTATCCCTTCACCTGGATTTACAGTAAATCTCTAGTTATTTTTTAACCATAAAATTTACAAAGACCTAGGAGCAGACAAAAAGAAAAAGAAAGAGACTGATTGTGGGTAAGTAGCATGTTAATTGAAATAAGATCCTTTGCTAATAGAAAGGAGAACAGAACCAAACTCAGTGGCTTGGAACATTCTGTTTATGGCAAAGATCAGAGTTGGATCCCTGGCCTGAGTGCCTTTCTACCCCTGTTCTACCAGACCAAAGGGTAATAGCTGTCATAATGGGACAGATCCTCACCCAATGCCTAATATGCAGTGGGTGCTCAATGGCCATTAAAGGGATCATATGAATGAATGGATGCAGATCAACTCAAAGGCACTGGCAGCGTGAAGTCAGCTGCGGCAGACTTCAACAGATGAAAAACCCAAGATACGAAAAATTAAGCAGCTGGTAACATTTTATGTAAGATTTTATAATCCAAATTCAAGGATAGCCATATCTTACTTCACTCTATTTTACAATGACATATTTTATTATCAATTAGTATTTGTGCTTGGCCAGACATCAGAACCATGCAAACTAGTAAACACTCACAGTCAAGTACACAGAAATCTCCACATTCTAATACCAGTTTGAAAACAATTCTGTCACCTTGGGCCAACAGTGTAACCTTGAAACGAAGATAACTCCTGCTGTAACTGTTTTTTGCTGTAGCTTTGTACTGGTTAACTAAATAAAATTGTGAAGAAATTCAAAGATAAAAATCTGTTTTTATTTGCTGTTAGCCCTCAGATTCAGCACCGAATCAGAAAAAATTATAAAAATCATCTCCATCCCCAAATTTTGCATTCTTAGAAATGATTGCCCTGAAGTAGCATGATGAATTAGGCTAAACAGTTTTTGACTGCAAGCACTTTCAGGCAGGATTTATGAATGGAGACATGTGAGCCACTCTGGTCAGCTTTGAAGCCCCATACTTTCTTCCTGAGCTATTTATAGAAAGCGGATAGCCAATGGAAAAGAGCACATTTATTTTTACAAGCCAGTCATGACATGACCAAAGAACTCACTTCCTCTCTCTGGGAAGGTCATCTTCTTTAGCTGAGGGTACAGCTACAAGGACGGGGAAGAAAGGGACCCCCTCTAGTCAACGGAATCAGCCTGAGTCAGCCCCAGAGACCAACCCCACAGGGTGACAGGCACTGAAGTCAAACACCCTCATTTCCCAGGCATGACTCTGTCTCTAGCTCCTTGAGATGTCATCTAGATTATGACTAACAAGTAAAAATAACATGTATTACATAATATGCTTCAAAATTCTATGCTTTCAAAATAGGTTGTACAGAGATAATGAAGTGCATTCTTACTTATCATTTGTCCCACATTTCAAACAGCAAACACAATAAAGTAAAAGTGAATTTTAAAGGATGTGGCAAAATGGATAGTGAAAAATATTTTTAAAGCTATTTTATCCTGATGGCCATATTACCCCTGAAGTATGTAATATGCCTGGACAGTTCCATGCAAATTTGGATACTTAGTAAATATTTCCTGATTCTAAAATATCATTTATCTTGACAGAAATCAGGTGTAATTTAGCAAATAACATACATAGTTTTACACACATGCCTGGTCTTGTGTGGGGTACATGGTATCTATTTGCAAACATGAAGTGAAGTGAAACCACTGTTTTCAACTAGAATGCCCTTTTGTCAACGTTATGTGTGGTATATAAAAACCAAGATAGGATGGGAAAGGGAAAGTGGGGGAGGGAAAAGGCAAAAGGAAGGAAAGTGAGTTCTCATTCTCTCTTACTGGGCTTAGGCATCATAATCATTTGAAAACAATATGGGTATATTTTATCCTTGAGTGACTTCTGCTTAAGGACAAAGACACAGGGCAAGAAGAGAATTCTGTCTGCAGACTAAGATCTCCAACAAAAATTTTAAATGACAAATACAAGGCTTGTTTTTGTTTTCAAACTCATTAATCCTGTTTAGGAGTTTGTCTCTTCAAAGTTCCTTCTGAAAGGGGAGGTCCCATTTTTCAGGGAAGCTAAAATACTCATCAACCTATGCATCTTGCTTCCAAACCAACATTCTTTGAGACTCTAGAAGAAATAATAATGACATGCAAATAAATTTGCAGGTGGAAATGTCCCAGTTTCCACAAATGCCTTTGAATGCATGTACTGAGTAAGTTACAGGTGAAGAATGACATCCCTAGTAGGCACAAATTCTCAGCCACTGTAACATAAAGGGAATCTCCTTGTACTTTGCAAGAGACGAGACACTGACACCCATCAGCAAACGTGCAAAGTGTATTTACAATCCCATTAAGAGGCTCTAAATTAAATACAGACATATATAATGTTAAGTTCTGTGTGGAAATTAACACACAGCACACTGGTTCCTCCAGGGAACTGTGTCGAGCCTCTCAGTTTATAAATATAGTAGCGATTAAAAGCACAAACAGAAACAGCAATATTTTTAGCCTACCAGTGCTGAGGTAAGTGTTCATCTATATAATGTGCTTGATCTAAATTATACCATGAAGTCAAGACTTCCCATTCAATGACTTATTTGGCTCCTAACCAAAGGACTTGTCAGGAAGTATGGTAAGTATTTAAATAAGCTACCTCAGTGGTTTGTGGTATTCAATGGTTGCCATCTCAAGTACAGGTTAGCATTTATAAGAAATGTCTTAAATAACACTGGCCAATGTGGTTGTTATAAAGGATCTCAGGAGCGTGTTCACCCATTTCTCTATAATTTAGGATGACCGTTCATTACCATAGCATGCATCTAAATGAGACTTCAGTGTTTAACTAGGCAAAGGTAATCCTATAGAACTCAAAAATTTCAATTACAATTCAAGTAATATGCTCCTGACTTTCACACTGTATCTGCCTTATCTATTCCTGAGTATTATGTTTTTAAGTGAGGATAGATGGCATCAGTCTAGAACAGTGTCCTCTCACCTTCCCTGATGGCTGCATTAGGAACCACAGTCACATCAGTGGTTTGGCTCCTTCTCCTAGTAGAGAAGCCAAATGCTCTGTGTCCTGGTAAGCTACTTCCGGTGCTACTCACAGCTTGAAACCAACACCATCTTCTTTCCCTCCTGGGTGGAATGTTAAACCCTGATTTGCAGTAAAGAAAAAGTTGATTTCAACTGCCCTCCCCTATATTTGAGGACCAGTCATTTGGGCATTGCTTCAAAAGGCACATTTATTCCAGTGGTAATTTAAATAAGTAGAGAAGGAAAGGATAAGATTAATAACAAAACAAACAAAAAAACAAGATAAGCTTTGTGGAATACATTAAAGTAAATAGGCATGTGGGATCTATGTAGACCACTGAGCTCCTCACCAGTAGTCTAACCAGAGTCCCTAAGGTAAAATAATTCACATTTGTATCATGAAACACAGGCCTTAGGAAACACTGTTTAAGAAAGTACAGTAGTTTAGAACTCTCAAGCAGCTTGCCCTGATGTCCAGTTAAAGTGTATGCAATGCAAAAGGGCTATAAAATTCAAACCTACAAGACAAATAAAATTCAGTGCATATCACAGGCTTGATAAATTACGAAAAATCATTGTATATATTACTATTTAAATAACATCTGAGAAACATTTTGAAATAATTAACTTGTGTTCACATTCCATGCATTTTCTAGCAGGTTAAGCCCTGGGCTTATTTATGTCTTTGTGCCCGTTTTCTACAAAGATCCATTCTTTTGACAAATCCAAGCATTCCTCAGACTGAAATGGAAGTACCCAGGGATTTTGTCTACTTACCCTCTTTAATGCATACCTGACCTCACACGGGCTACCTGTTATTACCGCTGGCACAGAAGATCATCGGAAAATCGAATTATTTGGGGTTTTACTTGGGATTTTATTCGCTGCTTTCGAAAAATCCCTGGATGTCACAGACATCACCTGAATTTTGTCCATGGGCAAAAACCAGTGGCCCTCTCCTTCCTGCTTGACCCACTTCCCTCTTCCAAAGCCCCAAGTGCATTGAAAACCCCTTGTCATTGTGGACGTTTTCCCCCTCCCGGCGGCTCCGGAGCAACCTCCTTGAGCAAAGAAGGAAACAACAAAACTGGAAAACAAACCAATAGCAACAAACGAAAGTCTAAAGAAGTGGGCAAACCAGCAGCCTCCAGGAAAGCAGAGGCTCATTTTTTGCTGCAGAATTCGGAACTGTTTAGGAACTTCCTGATGACCAGCCCCAGGCAGACAACCAGCAGCAGCATGTAGCCCACGGTGCCTGAAAAGGTGGGTGCGGCAGGCGGCGCCTTGAGGAACTGGCGCAGGCCCTCCTCCACGTAGTACACCTGGTCGTAGATGCTGAGGAAAGTGAAGATGTGAAAGAGCTGGTGGCTGTGGCCAATGATGTCGAAAAGGCCAGGTTGGATGCGCTCAGGGATCTTGCTCACATTGAAGAACGCGGCCACCACCAACCAGAAGTAGCGGCGGTAAAAGTGCACATAGAGCGTGGGGTTCTCGCCACGCAGATCGAACAGCCAGCTCTCAAGCATGATGGGGCAGGCCATGCTGAGCGGCATGATGAAGACGAAGGTACGCAGCGCGAACGGGTAAGAGCACCAGTCAGTGCGGCTCTTGCAGCAGGCCACCGTGCAGGCCACTGCCAGCAAGAAGGCCACGGGCAGCACGAGCGCGCGGTAGGCGGCTATGAGGCGCGTGCAGTCCACGTGCCAGCCCAGGCGCTGCTGCACGTAAGGGGTCATCACTCTGGCGTCCAACAAGCTGAGGCTGGGCAGCAGGTAATAGTAGTAGGCCACCGTGCTGCCGAAGCCATAGTAGCTGATCGAGGCGTAGTCCAGGTAGAAGAAGGCGGCGCGCAGGCGCAGCGACAGGCAGCTGAACACGTGCGCCGTGCAGCTCATGGCGAAGGTCAGCAGCACGCCGGACGCGTAGCACCACAGCGGCAGCAGCCACGGGTGGTGGAAGGGCACGTCGCGGCCGCTCAAAAAGAACAGCCGGCAGAACTTGCTCAGGAACAGCAGTAGGGGGATGAAGTGCGTCCAGAAGTTGAGCGTCTCGTTGGTGGGCTTCAGCACCGAGGCCAGGCACTCCTGCGCCGTGCAAGGCAGCCGCCGATAGCCAGATAGTATGAAGCACTCCACGAAGTCGTCGGGCACCTCGTCCCAGCGCAGCAGCGATTTGGCGGAGGCCGGAGGGTCCCCCGAGGCGGAGGGGTGGGGGCGCGAGGTGGCCGCCAAAGCCGTCTCAGTCGTGGCCGGCGGGCCCTTTGTGCCCGCGCTCCGGGGCTGCAGGCGCCGCGGCATGGTGCCCCGGGCTTGAGTAGGACGAGAACAGGCGACCTCTGGCGCCGGCTCCCGCGCGCTCCGCAGCCCCCGCCAGCCGCCGTCGGAGCCTTTGTGCTCGTGCGGAGGGTGTCGTTGCAGGTTCAAGTGAAGACCTGAGCCTCTAAGCAGCCGTTCCTAAAAAATAAGTAAATAAATAAAAACAGTCGGTTCGTAAACAGCCAGCGACTGGCAGGAGCGCGCGGGGCTCGGCGTCCCCTTCTCCAGGCTCCCTGCTATCGGCTCCCGGCCGCCTGCGCTGCGGCAGCCCCAGCGGTGGCGCGGCGGACTGCGGCGGCGGCAGCGGCGGCGGCGGCGGCGGCGGCGCTGCCCCGGTGACTGGGCATCGCGCGGCGCGGGAGGCGGGGATGTGGAAGCTGAGGCGCTGGAGGGAGGGAGGGACGGGCGCACCGAGGGAGGGCGGGGGCCTCTCCGGCTAGTGTTTCGAGGCCGCCTCCGGGGGTAGAGTTATCCCCTGTCTCGAGTTCCGTACCATCCTCCCCACCCCCTTCGGGCTGCAGCAGCCAGAGCTGGCCCGTTAATGATTGATGCCGGGGCAAAGGCTGCGCCAGCGACTCAGCGGCGCGTGGCGATCGCGAGGGCGAGGGTCGGTGCCGGGGTTCGAAATCCGACAGCCACGCGTGTGTTGCAGAGGACACTAGCGAACCACGTTCGCTGGGGGTGGAGAGCTACGGCCGCGGGGACGGGGTAGCGGGGTGGGGGAGGAGATGGCGCCTGCTGCGCCTCAGCAGTGCAGGGCGAGGAGATGCTCTAACATTAAGTCTAGAGGTAGCCGGGGCAGAGACGGGGCAGCTTTGAGTCGGTGTCCGAATCAGGGCTGTGTCACTGTCAGAAACATGGGACTGCCCTTCTTTTCCCGTGTGTGTGCGCGCGGGAGCGCGCGCGACTCCTGCTGTCGACACCGCATCAAGCCTTAGTTTATGTTCTCTCCTATAGCAGGCTTATTCAGGTGCGTCATTAACCTGCCTTTTCTCTCGCCCTCGTTTGGTCCAAACTAACCATCCCATAAGTGACCTCTGGTCGCTCTTACCAACCTTTGGGGGGCGCAGCTCAGTCATCCTCGAGTTCTTGTGTCTTTAACTGGGACTCTTTTTTGAAGCCCGAAGTCCGAGAGCTCGGGGTCGAACTACTCCAGACCATGCGATTCAGAGAGACTAAAGACCTGCAAGATTTCTTAACAAGGACTTCCCTAGCAGAGCTGTATCTGAGTTGTGGGCTTTTTAGGTGGAGGGCGTTCATGAGGGAGGACCTCAGGGAGGGATGAATCCTAGAATGAACGGAGACAATTCGTAGAGACTGGGAGGCGGTGGCTTGGAAAAAGCTTATGCATAATTGACCGTAAGTACCTGGCAGGCTTGGGTGGCTGGAGGCCAGGGTAAAGGAAGACTGAAGAACTGGAAACCGGTTGTGATGCGCTGCATGTGAAAATATGCCCTTGAGCCTTGTAAAGGCGGGCCAAAAACCTGCCTGCTGTAAAGTGTTTACCATTTCATTTCACAGAAGTTTCTCTTAGTGATGCCCTGGGGGGTATGGCTGAGTCTACCTGCAATATAGTGTCATGGCAACAGAAGATAATTCTAAGGAAGCAGGCCCTGTTCTAAGTGCCTCACAATTGTTAAATCTTTTAGATTATTATTTTCCCCATTTTTACAGATGAGGAAGTGGAGGCACCACAACCGTAATCAATAACATGCCCAGTTGGTAGAAGGGGGGTTTTGAACCTAGGCAAACTGCTTCTAGATCTTTTGTATTCAACACTTAAACCAGAACATCCAACAAACTGCCTTGCTCAAAGAACACTTGAAGGACGGTTTGATTTAGGAAAAGGTTTTCATTTGATAAATGAAAGGCTATCTTCATCACTACAGCAAATCTTTTAAGTAGGTCAAGGATGATTTACTTAGTAGTGGCTCAAGGAGGACTTAAGTTGTGGATAAGAATAATTTATAATTAAGAAATCATTCAGTATTATAAATGTGTAAAATTACTGAAAGATAATAGAAACAGTCTCTTTAGAAGTTTCAAGCCTTCTCCCTGAAAAAAAGTTTTCCACCAGAGACTAGCTTAGCAAACTCTTACACAATTAGGCCAAAGGTACACTTACATCTTATGCCTTTCTGAGCTATCACAAATTGATGAATGGATTTTAAATTAATTATATTTGGCTGTAGTTACTTAACTAGTATTTTGTTTTATTATTTTCTCAAAGCTCCACTTCTAGAGCTTTGTTGTTTTAAAGCAAAACCTAATTTCCTTTCACATATGGACTAAAGACCAGGCTAATTTGTAAAAGGGATTAAGAGTCAGGCATTTATTAATCAGGCCTAGGAATGATAAACCTGAACTGGGCAGACTAGAAAAAAAATTTTTCATATTCTCTTTGTTACTCCACAAACAACCTGAGCTGTGATCTGTAAAAAATGTTGATTCTGTAATAATTCCCATATTTGCTAACCTCCTAGTTGCATAATCGGCTCACTTACATAATTGGGGAAAATATAGTAGAAAGTTCACATCAAGTTAAATAATGGAACTGACTGTAAATGAATGTAAAAGCTCTATTTAGATAAAATAACATTTATCTTTATGACTAAGAGTGATAAGACTTACTATAATAAAATATGGTGTTATTTAAAACAGCATTTTATAAAGTCGAAAGAATCTGTCATAACCTTTAAGTCCTTCTGGAAGTCACTGACATCTCTGCTTTTCTCGGTTCTCATCCATGTTCCACCCCGCATGAAACACTGAACCAGCTGATGGCATGAACTGGCGGTGCTCAGGAAAACTCACTCCCTGCTGCTGTCCTCACCATACTGTAACAAATCTAAGTCAAAAGGAACTGAGGAAACAGAAACCTGACCTAACTGTATTTTTTTTTTTATAAAACCCAGCAATAAGACTTCCTTAATTGCTCCCAATCAATACAATTAATTTTTCTTAAGGTTTTTTTTAGTTTGTTTGTTTGTTTAAAAACCCTACACAGGCTGGATTTTATACTTTGTTTCATCTCCAGTGAACTAACTGCCTCTTGTCAGTGAGAACCATACTCACATGCCCTGGGCTTGGCTAAACAGATAGAAGCAGCGGGCGCGCTGCCATTCCCTAAAGGTGCACTGGGAGATAAAGCATCTCTAAGCCAGTGGCAGTGTTTAGAAGCAGAAAGCAGTTAGTTCTCCTAATTGAAGGCTTCTTAAACTAAGACCCCAAATGTGGTTTGCGTCGTTTTATGGAGGCCCTGTACATTTGGGAGCTGAGGGGTCCTGGATGCAAACCACAGTCACAGTCATGTATAGGAAATGGAGCAAACAGGACAAATGCTTTTGCCCATATACTTTGCTTTGGTCCTGTTCTTATAGACCAACTATATGTTTATTTGTTTCTCTCTACAGTAATAATACGAAGCATATATTAAAAAATATTCCACAGCAAATTTGATGTTTTCTAATGTGGACAATGCGCTATGTGTAAAACCTGCAGGGAAAAAAAAAACCCTGCTATAATATTTGCAGATAATACACCTGTTTTAGGGGGAAATAAAATTTTTTCTAGTCTCATTTTTAGCCAAATACAACCAACCAAACAAACAAAACCCAGTGTTTTATTACACTCAAGACTCTGTACAAAGAGAGCTCTGTAAGGTTCAGTACCTGTCCTCAGAAGATACAGCCTAATCAAAGTGCTTTCTTTCCCCCCAAATTGAAAACAGCCATCACCTGAATAATATCATCCAACCCTTCCAGGTCAGACATGGTTACTACCAGATTTTAAGGTCTGAGTTTCCTAGTGGTGGAAAACCTCCTGGCAGTGGCATCAGGTGTAACTATGGCAACCTTTGAGCAAAAGTACAATTGGAAGGCCAGGTAGGGGCTAGAAGCTAGAGGTGGGCAACTGAGTTTTTATCTGGCACTATTCCTGCCTGTTTACTGCGTGGTGACAGGGTTCTCTTCTGAAGAATAGCTAAGGGATCCTTGATAGGATGTTTTTGCCTTTTGAGGTTCTACGCAGGCAGTGACAACTGCATACTCCCCTCTCTCCCACCAGTTTACTTATTCTCTCAAAAGTGGGGTGCACACGAAGACTGTTTTAATAGATCTCTTTTTAAACGTCTATAATCTGTGAAGGTTTTAAAACGGAAGGTACATTTTATACCACTTAATATGTAGTACATGGAGTTAACTTATAAATTTTATGTTGGGGTGTGGGGTGAGGATAAAAGTTGTGGGATCAAAACTTCATTGGCTTCTGCCCTTCCGTCCCTCGCTCTTGTTTGTCCAGCCTGCTTCCATCCTCTCTCCCAGATCCAGGATGGGGTTTCTCTCATCCTGCCTCTCAGGTTACTGGTAAAGGGTGTTTTGGAGTCATCATCTGTCAGCCAACAGTCCCCAAACTCTGACCAAACCTGCCCAAGCCTTCCACGTCTCCCACAGCTTTCCTGAGCCAGGATAGCAGCCTCCATTCTGGACTGACTGCTCTCAATTCTGCCCTTCCTGTTTCCTGGCTTGAGTCTATATTGTCTTACAACAAAGGCCTCATGTTTACGTGCCACATGCATCCTAATTCAGACTCACCCTTTGGGGAGGAGATTGTCATTGGCTGTTGCTCGCTTTAGGCAGAGACTTCCGGTAATTTCCATTTTTATACAAGTGTATAAAATCGATTTTTGAGTTCCCGTTCCTCATTGTCTGTTGACAATTGTTCTTGAAACACAGTGCTTTGCCCATAGTAAGCACTCAACACATATTTGTGATTGTGGAAATTCTTTTCAGTTCTGTAAGCCTTTAAAAGGTTAGAACTTAGAATCCTAGAATCTTAGAATAGAGATGTCACTCCTTTAAGTCATTTAGTGCAACTCCCTTCCCATTTATGATAGTTCTTTCAATTTATTGATTATATACTGTATTCACTTACTGGGATAGGCACTTTACATATATTATCTCCAATTCTCAGAATACTCTTTGCAAGATAAATCCACTGTCCCCGTTTTCGGACAAGAAAACAGATGCCCAGCCTTGAACATCTTGAATAAAGAAAATTATTACCTCATCTGGCCTCCTCTTTCATCTTAACTTTTTAAAATTGCTGTTCAAAAACTTTGTTAATAATGAGTACAACTGATGAGACAAAAACCAAAACAAAACAAAACCCAACAAAAACCAAACATTGTTGCATCTTGACCATAGCTCAACTGTAAGTATTACTGAAAGTGGTCACCAACTGGATCTGGTTAGAATGTTCCTGAAAAGAATGATGCCAAATAAGTCATGCCTTCTTGCAGTATGTGACAGCTGGATATTGATTAGGCATGGCTGGAAGGTACATTTTATATAAAGAGCATTTTCCTGTAACAGATAACATCTGTTGTTACCAGGAGACTTGCTATAGCCTAGATCTTTGCGAAGAGGCAAATAACAGATACCAAGATTTCATAGATGATCCTTGCACTCAGCATAGTATTACTGATTACAGTGATTGATTAATACAAAAAGGAAAATATGGTATCATTGCATATTAATATCAAGGGGAGGGCATCTCCATTATTGGGCTCTCTTTGGACTTCAGTTAAGCTCACTTGCCATTTATCTCATTTAGGTTTTTTTTCTCTTTTTGAAAAATTTAAAAATTTTTATTGAGGTATAATTGACATGCTGTAATTACATTCCTACAACTTATTTATTTCTGGAATTTTATACTTTTTGATCCCCTTCACCCATTTCTCCCACCCACTACTCCCCACCTCTGGCAACCACCGATCTGTTCTATGTATCTAGGTGCTTGCTTTTATTTTAAATCCCACATGTAAATGATATCATATGGTATATTTGTTTTTTCTTGTCTGACATTTCACTTAGCATAATGCCCTCAGGGCCCATCCATGTTGTCACAAATGGGAAGATTTCATTCTTTTTTTGTGACTGAGTAATACTCCATTTTGTATATATACCACATCTTTATCCAATCATCTATTGATAGACACTTAGGTTGTGTCCATATCTTGGCTATTGTAAATAACACTGCAGTGAGCATGGGGGTGTACATATCTATTCAAATTAGTGTTTTCATGATTTTTCAGAGAAATACTACAAAGTGGAATTGCTGGATCATATGATAATGCTATTTTTAATTTTTTGAGAAAAGTCCTTACTGTTTTCCATAGTGGCTTCACCAATTCACATTCC